AGCTTCGGTTTAAAAAAAAAAGAAGTACAAAAGGATGATTCTAGATGGATTTAAAAGGAAATGAAAGTACCGGTAGGTACCAACTTGTATTAACTCTAAGTTAGACTTAGCTTAACATTAAAAGAACCCAAACATTCTTTTAAAAATTATACCCTATGAGCATATGATCAAGTTTGATCATATCAGCATTCTGTAATTAACCATCAAGGTTTTTTAAAAATAAGAGACCAGTTCCCATAGTAAATCTATAGCTTGTTTTTAAGTTATTTAATTACATTTTTAAGTTTAAGTTTAGGAGAAATTAGGACAGTTTCTTTTTTTAAAGTGAAGGTGGTCAGAGTGAGATTGTTCACTTAGAAACAAATTTGCAAAAACACCTATTAAATAATTCTTTGTAAGCATGAAAGTAGTCATCAGCCATTCTCTGACAGCAGCAATCACAGCTATAAAAATGAATCCTGTATTAACAGGAAAGGAAGAGAGAAAAAAAAATCTAGTTCACGACGTAATTTTATCTTTTCTAAAATAAACACATCCAATACTTTCTATGCACATTAATTTATCTACACATCAAGAATGAGATCCATACCTCTGATAGACTCTTCAAAGTGAACTTTTTCTTCTAAGAACTTTTTCAAAGCTGTTTTACCGTGGAGTGGTGAGTAGGCTGTTGTGTATATACAATAGTCTAATGGTAACGCGTACTGTCAACATATGTACATATGTAGTAATATTATAGGCGTTTTTATTACAGCTTATTGTTCTGGCTTCTCAATAAGTCAGATAAAATCATGTACAAGAACATTAAGGATTAAGGGAAGTGGTTTCCTTTGGTGATTGCTGGTGAAACCTCACCCTCTCATAACAACATAGTAAATGGATAGTAATAGATTTGGCTATTACTTTCCAACAAATTCAGATGCCCATTTTTCAGAGCTGCTGAGTGTATGTTTGCGGCTTCTTGGGTTGTCTTTTCGTAGGAAAAGGTGTTCAGGGTATTAGATAAATGGATGACGTTCCAGTTCTGTAAATGTTCAACTCAACCTACCCCCCCACCCCCCAACATACACTGCTAGCAAAAATAAGCCAAAGATGTAATGTCTATTTAAACACACGTTTGAGCTTAAATTAGATCTCATGCTCTGGCTAGAATCAACGTGGCTTAAATAATAATAACAAAAATCCTAAAAATTCATATTCTCTCCCCACGCCCCCACCCACTTCACACACTAAAGGAAGAGGTGGAAAGGTGTGCAACTGGCTAAGGGGTTACAAAAAAAAAAGCCCGAGCCTGGATGGTTAAGGCAAATTAAAAAAAAAAAAAAACAACCCACAAAACTTGCCTTTAAACCCTTTGTTGGCATACCAAATTTTCTAAATGGATGCCTTCCCTGCTAAAGATCCAGAGGGAGGAGGGCTTTTATTTTCCTCTAACATGTACCATAGTGTCCCTAGTTTTCCGCTGAGGTCCCTTTTGCAGACTTAAAAATGTTCGCTAAACACGTCGCTAAATTCCCCCCCCCCTCCCCTCCCAACGCCTTCTGGGTTTCAGCTTTTGAGTTTCAAGTCCTTGCACAACACCTAAGACGTGCAATACTTTTCTCTCTCTCTCTCTACTCCTGGCAGAGAACAGTCCGGAGAGATCTCCCTCCACGTCTCCACCCCAGTTCCCCCTCTTCCTAGATTCCACCCGCTCCTCGGCTTCCCTCCGCCCCCCGGCTCCGCCGGCCCAATCTGTCAGAGAAGTTGTGTACAAACTGCGCGGCAGCCCTGCGCGCGAAGCTCGTGGCCCGAGGGGTGCGGTTCGGCCTGGAGGAGGCGTGGCCTCAGGGTGACTTTCTCTCTTCTCATAGGCTAGCCTCTCCAGCCAAGACGGCCTCGGCGCGTCCGGATTCGTAGACGTGCTGCCAGTCAGGCAGACGGGCCCCGCCTCCCCGGAGTTGGGTGAAATAGAGGCGGGCGTCAAGTGTCAGTAGTCTCGGGGCAGGTACGCGCGTTCGCAGCTCGCTGGAGGAGATCGGCGGTGGCGGGAGCGGGCTTCGGAGAGCCTGAGAGCGCGGCGGGGCGGGGCGGGAGAAAGTGGTCGTCCGGGGGGACGTTGGCGGCTACGCGAGGCCGAGCGGAAGACTTTTGGCTTTTCGTGCGCGCCATCGAGAACCGTGCTCGCTGTTGGCCGGAGGGG